CGCGTTGACAGCGGAATTTCTTATAGGATCATATGAAGCTAAATAAAAAATACATGTTTTAATTAAGACCATAAAGTAGGTATTGGACGAAGAAAAAAGAGTAAAAATTGTATTTTTGGCAGACGTTTTTATAAAAAAAATGCAAATTTTGGTGAAAATTTCACGATGTTTTTTTTTAATAGTTGTAATTAAAAAAAAATATTTCGTTCAAGACCTTCTAAATTAAATTATATCCCGAAGGATATAATTACATAAAATTGTAAGATCTGTTGCGAAGTTCGCTCGAAATCTTGACAACCGACTTTAAACACACAAGTTTCAAGAAAATCGAGTTTCCCGATATCGGCGGTTTCGACAAATGACCAAGTTTCCTTGGAGAGAAAAGGAAATAATCACAATTCGCGTATATACAGACAGACGGATAGATGAACATGGCTAAATCGACTCAGCTCGGCATGCTGATGATTACTAGGTTGGTTTAAAAGTTGGCTGGTCTCACCAAAAACTAGCACTACTAGCTCCAATTTTTTTTCTCAAGTTATGCATCTGTCGTGAGAACACATGCAAAGTTACAAGTCATTCTGTTAAAAAATTCTTTGTTTACAAACCATTTGAAGTTGACGTGTCAGAATATTTTTATAATATGAAACAAATTTAATATCGCACAGTGATTAGATTCTTTGTTTTGACAGGTTCAAAAGCAAAGGAAATTTATGAACAATTGTAAGAAGTGTAATAAGGAGTCCTCACCTACAATTATTGAGCAAGTTCATAATATTGTTAGTGAAGATCCAAGTTTGACGAAGCGCGAAATCGCAAATGCAATAGGCATCTCAGACGAACGTGTACTTCATATTGTACATGGAGAATTACATATGAAAAAGCTGTTTGGAAATTTAGTGCTGCACACATTAACAATTCCACAAAAACCAGATCGAAAATAAATTTCTCATAATAGTTTAGAGCGTTTTAAGCAGAATGACGACGATTTATTGCGTCGTTTTATAACTATAGATGAGACTTGAATCTACCACCATGATCCTGAATTGAAACAGTGGACTGAACCTGGTTGTTCAGCTCCAAAGCAGATGAAGTCACAACGATCAGTGAAGAAGGTTATGGCATTAGTTTTTTGGGATGCGAAAGAAATTTTGTTGATTGATTATCTGCAGAAACGTAAAATAATCAACTCTGAATATTATTGCAGCCTTTTGGATCAGCTGAATGAAAAAATTCGTTAGAAAAGACTTGGTTAACAGCACAAAAAAAATTTTCATCAAGAGAATGTACCTGCTCACAAAGGTGTTTTAAAAACGACTTAATTCAACGAATTAAAGTACGAATTGCTTGAGCATTCACCGTATTCACCAGATTTGGCTCCCAGCGACTACTAACCAGCATTTTTTCATTTCGAGCGCAGAAGCCTTTCAACCAACCTCTATATGTATATACATATATTTTATATGGTTTCTGACGTTTCCTTCTGGGTGTTACAAACTTCATGGCAAACTTAGTATAGGTATTGGGTATAAGGGTTTAAAGATGATCTACAAATAGCAGGAGCAACTTAATTACATATTTAACTAAAGCTGTATTACACTATATTTCTAATTAAAAGTATTTCATTAATTAAAATCTGCAACATGACACCAAATGGTAGAGACCCCAAAACAAAAATATGTATGTATGTGTAGGTATATTATAAACCAAACACCCAAATAACTATACCCTACATATGCATTTTCACCCATTTTCTTCTTGCTAAAATTTATGTCGACCTCCATATGCCTCCTTTTCGAGTACATTTACATCTATATATAGGTATGTATTTGCATTCTTCTCGGAAGCATTTGGAAGCACGCAGTCATCGCGAACATTATGCGCATAGCAATTAACTGACTAGTCTTGGCAAGGTGGCCAACGGAGCGCCCATTTTGCAAGCAAACCTTCGCATTTCGATTCCAATACGGCATTTTCAAAACTTGGCTTTAGATTATATGTATAGGTATAAATACTTATGTACATATATATGAATTTATATGTTTCAGTATTTTTGACTTTAACACTTTTGCTTGGGTTGATCGGGCCGTTAAATCAAAATTCGGGGAGTCGCAATTAATTGGCAAATGAACTCAAAATAAATTGAAGTTGCGCTTGACACCTGACGCTCAGTAAATTTCCTATGTGGAGATATGGACCCAGGGAATTGGACGCAATACGTGTCATCATGAACTATTACGAAATTTGGTTATATGTACATATGCATATTGAATGTACATACCTATGTATTTAAAATTCACAAAGCAATTCGGTAGTGTACTGTCTAACCTTAATCGGTTAACTAATATTTTAGAAATAAACTTTTATATTTTCTATGCCAATATCAACAAATATATAATAAGTATGTACAATTTGGTATCCGAAATTGGTATTAGTAAAACACATCACATTCTTTTGATAACTGTACTCATGAATTTCGAATCGGGTAGACAATTAAAAGTCAGAATATTTTTTGAGGTTATCCCCTATTTTATCCAGCCGGAAATCTTTTTTATTTAAAATTTTGAATTGACATATTTCAAAATATATTTTCAACCGCTTTTCTATTACATAAAAAGAATATGCTTGTATTTTAAGGGTTACTGCTAGAAAAGACAATTACAATACAGTCAGAGATATTTTATTTTTAAGTGATGGCAACCGTTAATTTTTTAGAGGAATGTAAGCAACGTCTATACAATATATTTGAATAAGTTGCTCCAGTCATTCTAGAAATATAATAATAACCCCACCCTAAGTAATCATAAATCTAGTTAGGTTAGGTTATACGCTAACATAGACCTGCTCCTTAGTACTGCCAGATGGTGGTTCAGTTTAATTTGAACTAGAGTATTCGTCATACAAAACGTCAAAGATTTTTGCGAACTATAAGAGCGACTTGATATCCCTTGAACTGTGGTGTACTATGTAGATATCTAAGACGAGTTCTAAATAATTCTGAACAGAAGTATAGGAAGTGTTCCAGCGTCACTCTTATGCCTACTTCCCTACACTTTCTGCATGTATCGTCGTTACTTATGCACATCCGGCTCGCATGTGATGCCAGTAGGTTCTGAACTGTCAATAGATCAACAGCCGTCCTGCAGTATTTTCGAGACCGTGTGTAAAAGAATGCATATTTTGCTTCGGGGCTCTTGCACATGATATTGGCGATCCTACATGTCCTTAAAGCATTCGATGTCACCTTGAACCATCTGTCAGCCCTTTAGAAAATTTCATTGTGTTTCGTAATTAGTGACTTACGTATTTCCTGTACTGGTTCGGTACCCAGACAAATGACTTTTCGCAATCTCATCAGCTATTTCGTTTCACGGAATCCCTTTGTCGCCTTGAACCTAGTAGATTATATAAATCTATTTGTTTATTGAAGAAACTACTCACGAAACAAGAATGATAGTTTACAAGCTTGCGAAACGTTGTGCCATGAGCGTAAAGATGTCTCGAACTTCTGTTTAACGAAGAACTGTCAAAAAAAAAAAAACCAAACAGCCTAGAAAGCTATGAATCTCGATGAGCACTTGAAATGAAAATACTCACCCTAGCCAGCAAGTTTTATGAGATAGAAATATTTCCACCACTATTCAATATTCTGGAATTTTTAAGGAGCTAGGTTAATGAAAAAAGGTAGTTGATGTTTTCGCCTCCATTTATAAAACATCTAGTATAATGCTCTATGTATTATTATATCGTTAATTCTCTGGTTCGGAGTGATGTAGGGAACAATCATTGCCACACTCTGTGTCTCATTGTCACAACTGCAGCAGCATTCACAGCCAACCAGTTAGTTTGTTGTAAATTCATATGCATATGTGGAGTGATAATATTAGTCTGTCAGTGGAGCTATGGTAGACAGCTACCCCAATAGATCTTACATTGGGACGAAATGAGTGACACAATCGAAGTTCGGCACATTCACATATCCATGTTTCCGACAATAATAAAATATTCGCACGTTGGGCTACTGTGTCCGTCAAATCTACTGCGTGAGCCCGTAAACTTTGGCCACTTAGAGAGAATAATGAGAGAATTAACATTATCATTAACATTAACATTAATATTAACATTAACATTAACATTAACATTAACATTAACCCTACTATTAACATTATCCCTAACATTAACATTAACATTAACTTTACTCCGAATCTGTCGCGTTTTCGTTTCGCTCCCATGTCTCCTTCAGTCTGACTACCCCCAACGTTGTCATCGTTGTTGTAATTCTTTCTTTAAACTGTACAAAAATCGAAAGTAATTTCGAAGTTAATTGATTTAGATTTCATATTTGATTCATATTTAAAACGGGTCAATCGACTTTTGACTAAAAAAGAATCTTAAAAACTTAAAAAACTCCATATATCCTTGTGCGATTTCACTTATCTTCCAAATCTTGTTTGGGTCAAGAAATTAGTGACATACAATTAATATGAGAAAGCATGGGTGTCATGTCAAACGAGTATATTGCTTTAACTGAATCGTCTATACTAATGCATATGTACATATATGATCATAAACGAGTTATCCAATTTATAGTAACTTTGAAGAATATAGATGCGCGTGAGGTTGATAAGTTTCATTAAAGTATTCGTAATTTTAATTGAAAGCAAATAAATTCACAAAGGTCAATCAAATAAGATGGGGGATAAAACCAAGCTGTGAAAATATAGATGCGCGTGAGGTTGATAAGTTTCATTAAAGTATTCGTAATTTTTATTGAAAGCAAATAAATTTACAAAGGTCAATCAAATAAGATGGGGGATAAAACCAAGCTGTGAAAATATGTAGTGATCACGTATCTTTGAATTTATTTAAGGTTCAATAGTCCCACCTAGAAAGTCCAGTTTAATTAGAAAATTAATTTCTTCAATATGTTCTAGTCATCATTATTTAAACTCTGACATTTATTCGTTTGCATTTTCTTGTTTTTTTTTACTTTTTTGCAGTTAACTTCGCCAATGCTCTTGCGAAAATTAATATAGGATATACAAGTACTTTCCTTCTAATTTCACCAAAATGAGCGCAATTGTAGGCGCAGCCACGGCGATAGGTGGCGCAGTGACAGCGGCTACCAGCAACAGCTGGTTTATACCGATGTTGGTGGCAGCTATCGCCTATTTTCAGTACGAAGAGATTATGGATCCAGAATCTCGGGCGGAAGATTTGCCCACTGATGACATATTAGAACGGTATGACTTTATAGTGATAGGGGCGGGGTCAGCGGGAGCAGTGGTGGCGAATCGACTGACAGAGGTGGAAAATTGGAATGTACTGTTATTGGAGGCTGGCGGCGATGAGACTGAAATATCGGATGTGCCACTGATGGCGGGTTATCTACAGTTGAGCAAAATGGATTGGAAATATAAAACCGAACCGTCAGGCAAATTCTGTTTGGGTGAGCTTGTAAATATAACTTTTTGTGAAATTGAAATTATTTTTTTTTTGTTTTAAAGCCATGAACAATGGACGTTGCAACTGGCCGCGCGGTAAGGTGCTCGGCGGCTCAAGTGTGCTGAACTATATGTTGTATTTACGGGGCAGTAAAATCGACTATGACAATTGGGAGGCCGCTGGCAACCCAGGTTGGGGTTATCGCGATGCTTTGTACTATTTCAAAAAATCGGAGGATAACACAAACCCGTATTTATCCAGTACTCCTTACCACTCCACTGGTGGCTATCTGACAGTCGGTGAGGCGCCTTATCACACACCGTTGGCAGCAAGCTTCGTTGAAGCAGGGGTCGAAATGGGCTACGATAATCGCGATCTGAATGGCGAGAAACAAGCTGGGTTTATGATAGCGCAAGGCACAACACGCCGTGGTAGTCGCTGCAGCAGCGCAAAAGCTTTTCTGCGACCGGCGCGTTTACGCTCTAATCTGCACATATCTATGCACTCACATGTTACACGTATAATGATCGACCCAGTGACGAAATTAGCTTTCGGCGTCGAATTTGTAAAGAATCAACGCATATATCGCATACGCGCAGCAAAAGAGGTCATTCTCTCGGGCGGTTCGGTCAATTCGCCTCAATTATTGATGTTATCCGGTATTGGACCACGTAAAGAGTTGACTAAACATCGCATACCGGTTATAAAAGAGCTCAACGTCGGCGAAAATATGCAAGATCATATCGGCTTAGGCGGTCTCACGTTTCTGGTTAATCAACCAGTTTCTATTGTAGAGAGTCGCTTTCATTCCATGTCTACAGTGCTGCAGTACGCTGTTTTCGGACAAGGTCCACTTACTATACTTGGTGGCGTTGAGGGTCTTGCTTTTGTGAATACAAAATACGCGAATACTTCGCTCGACTGGCCCGATATTGAATTTCATTTTGTTTCCGGCTCTACAAATTCAGACGGCGGCTCTCAGTTGCGCAAAGCGCACGGACTTACAGATGCCTTCTATCGTGCAGTATTTGAGAAGATCAACAATCGCGATGCCTGGAGCATAATACCGATGTTGTTGCGTCCACGTAGTATTGGCTCGATTAAGTTGCGCAGCAATAATCCATTCGATTATCCGTATATTTATCCGAACTACTTAAGTGACGAACTCGATACAAAGACACTAATTGAGGGCGCCAAGATCGCTGTAGCGCTTTCGCGCACGAGAGCTATGCAACGTTTCGGCTCGCGCATCTCATCTATTAAATGGCCTGGCTGTCAACATCTGCAGATGTTCACCGATCCCTACTGGGAGTGTATGATACGTCATTACACAGTGACGATTTATCATCCGGTGGGCACATGCAAAATGGGTCCCTATTGGGATTCCGAGGCGGTGGTTGATCCGCAATTACGTGTGTATGGCATACGCGGCCTGCGTGTGATCGACGCAAGTATTATGCCCAAGTTGGTGAGCGCCAACACAAATGCACCGGTGATAATGATCGCGGAGAAGGGTTCAGATATGATCAAGGAGTTCTGGATAAAAAACACGATAATCTAGTTATGCGACATGCGGCGATTGGGTTTGGGTCTACGCTGTTAGGGGGTATATGTTTTCTTCAGTTTTATGTGTGGAAAAACTTTGACATTTTGTAATTTATTTATTTACTTTTTTTGTATTTAATCCAAAACAGTAGATTTTCTGTGTCATGTAAATAAAAATTAAGTGAAAATACGAATTTTTAGATTATACTATATAAATATTATTTGTAATGTGTGTATGATCGAAAAAATACATAATTTTATAACCACATTTAAAAAGCATTTTTAATAGTAAGCTTCAATAATATTATTTAATACGCCCAATCATCCACACACACACAAAAAATTTGGAAAATATAATGATAAAAAGAATATATCTTTATACCATTGAACAGCAAGTGGCTATGGAATTGAAACCTGAGCCCATCATCATTTGACGATGGGGCCGAGTTTTAATAGGCGAACTTATGATTTATTGATGATCTCAACGGAAACAGAAACTTTGTCGAACTTAGAACGCTGATAACTCTTTTTTCTCGGTTATGCCTTGTTAACTATTTTACATATTTTGGAATTCCGAACTGTAAGTACACAATTAATAATGGTCTAACTTTAGGGCATTTACTGGATAATATTTAATTGAGTTCGAAATTATGGAGAACTGTGAAAATACGTGCCCTTAAAATCTTTTATATAAAAATCCACTTCAATCAGTATAGGAAAGATTGTATGCTGATTACTCAGCCCATCAGAGCTTGTGGCATATTTATATATTCTTTAAATGATAAAGATAACGATATATGGTTACTTCTAGTATTGATCAGAGTGCTCGAACTAGAGGTTGAGTAAGTAAATATTTGAATAAATGAACCTTAAAGTGAAGAGAATTAATAGCTTTCAAATATCGAGTTTTGGTTTAAAAACTACTTTGCAAAGGCGGTTATGTTATTAATGTTTTCATCAATTCGATTAATTCCAGCCAAAAGATTTATTTTCACCAGCGTTTGAAGTTTATGACATTGTAGAAAAATAATAAGCCACGAAATTTCAAGCAGCACAAATAAAGTTCTGGTAAAAGAGTTTCGAAAATGAATATTTGCTGTTGCAATAATACCACTCCACGAAATTTCGTAACTGTAGCAAAGTCAAATTATTCTCAATATTAAATTTTTATGGGCATTTTGAAATCAATGTTGAAGTTCAAATTAATAAAATTTTAATATATTGTATGAAGATGTTTACAAAAAACTCATAATGAATAACCCTATATGTACTCTTATATTTTTGGCGTTACAGTTTGACAACCACTGACATGCGTCAGCATTTCCAATCTACGCGCTTTCGCTCTTTCAATACACGCTGAGCTTAACGTGGTGAATTTACTTTTTTAGGTAAAAAGTTCGTTAACCGTTGAACTGGAATGTTGGAACTACCAACAACACACAGCAGTTAAATATTTAAATTTCGAAAACAACCTTAACCAAATATAAATGAAGCTACCAGCTTTTACTCACAAAAATAAGTGCAATAAAATATTGGAACCATAGATAAATATTATATATATTTTATATTGCAAATATACTCATAATACAAAGCAAAAATGTACTGTTATACAGCGCGTCGCAATGCAGCAACAAAATATTGTATTGTATATATACATATGTATGTATGTAAGTGTCTTACAAGTTGTTTTCTGCTGTCCAAACATTACTTGCTGATATAATAATCTGTTCAAAAACAAAGCGCAGAGTTGCGCCGAAAACAATTAAAAAAATTAAGGCTTCTATTGTTACCGCGATCGTCCATAAAATGCCGAGATAAATGTAAACGCATATAATATAAATTTAAATTTAATATTTTAACGCATTTCAATTATTTTCGATTTTGCGCTGAGAAAGGTAAGCTTTTTAGTCGAAGCTCAGCGCCTGCGGTAAACACACTGCGATGCTAACCAGCTACTTGGCGTGCACGAAATTCCGTTATTTCATTTGGGGTAAACAAAATAGAATTATACATATAACGGTAAATTGTATTTTATTTCTAAGGCGTTACCTCTTCTACAGCAACGGTTGCCTTGACGCTAGTGGTGATTGCAGTGATAAGCGGCACAACGCTTGCGAGCGGAATCAACGACGCTGGCAAGTTTCTGACAGCAGCCAATGACACCACGCCGCCCACAAGCTGCGTTACCTCGTCCGTTGGCAGCGCAGAGGCGCTTGTCAGTAATCTTTTTGCCGCGATAAATACAGCCAAATGTGAGTTGACAAATGCCAGCCAATGGCCTGCTGATTTTGCAGACGAAGCACTAAGTGAAGGCCTGCAGAAGTATGACTTCGTCATTGTGGGCGCCGGTACGGCCGGTTCGGTGGTAGCCAGCCGTTTAACCGAAAATCCGCGTATCAAAGTGCTGCTGCTAGAGGCTGGCGGAGATCCGCCTATAGAATCGGAGGTGAGCTTTTAGATTCTAAATGTTCATAGGAGGTCGACATGCGAGCGAATCTAGCAAGTGCTCTCATAACGTAGTAGCTGAAGCTTTTTGAGGCACTTATATAGTGAAGTATCTTGGCGATGTCATTCATACGAGATCCCGAAAGCGGGACCTCTTTGGGAGCTTTTCAGCTTTAAAAGCCAATCGGAAAGCTATGATTCATAAGTGCAGTGATTAACCACAACCGTTATCAATAGTCATCATTTAATATAAATGTACATATATACAAATGTATTCTTTTACGGATACATTAGATACAAAGTGTGGCATCATTATAATGGTTGGTTGAAAGTGATAAGCATTACTGTATTATTAAGCATATACTGCAATCCGACAAATTCCACAGTATTAAATTGGTAAAACATGGAGATCTTCTATACACTTTAATCTGGAGCGATTTGAGACATATTCAACTCTACTCGGATAAAAGCTGGCAATCGAAGATATAAATGGTCTTACTAACCGTTATTCCGACAGCATTCTAGTTAAAATCGTCTTTTGAGTTTGAATCAATACTCAAAGCTTATTCAACAGGGGCCATACGGATGAGATCCCTGATTCGCCGTGGGTCCTCATACCTTGGCGAAGTAGTTCTGAAAGGAGGAAAGGGTGGAGGAAGACTAGGTCTGGAAACTACTGGCCTGAGCCAAGCAAAAACATTATTAGGAAGGTATAACCTGAAAAGGTGCAAGGCAGTATTAAACTTGGTTAGGTACAAAGATAGGGATTTACACTTCTATACAGGAAGAGGAGCATCACTCCAGACTTAAAGTAAATTTGTATAATAGTTTTACAGGTTGCTGTGAATTGTCTGATTAGAGGCATATATACTTGACAGATCACATCTTCCAGGTGCATGAAAAAGGCTGAAGTGTTTTGCTAAAGACAAATAAAGATTTCCAGCAAAACAGCCTTAACAACGGTTGTTCACCATATTATATATTATATAAATATTATTTACAGTGTAGAACGATAGAATTGTGAATATTATCTCAGTACCTCCTAGTTCGTTTACAATATAAACCTTCTCATTTCTTGTTATCTCAATCTTTCTGCTTTTCTTTCAGATCTTTACAATGAGCTCTACGCTACATCACAGCGCCTATACATGGACGGACTTTGGCGAACCGAATCCGAACTGTTGTCAAGGCATGCAGCAGCGTCGCTGTTATTGGCCACGTGGCAAAATGCTTGGTGGCTCGAGCTCTATGAGTGGAAGTATTTTTTTGCTTGGCAATAAGGAAGATTTCGATCGATGGCGTCTATTGGGCTGCAATAAATGGTCGTGGGAGGAAATGAAATTTCTATACGAAAAGGCGCTCAAAGCCTCGCAGCATGAAGTCGTCGATAAGCCAGTCGGTGCAATAGTATTGAACCACTTTGACCCTCTGGAGCAGCACAAGGAACTAGCGCAACTTGTCTTCAATGCTAGTAGCGAGCTGGGGTTGCGTTATATATCCAATTTAGCAGACGGCACAAGCGTTGGCTATACAGACGCAATACCCGCGAATATAGAAAAGGGAAGGCGCATGAGCGTTGCAAAAACTTATTTGGGGCAAGTATCCCGTTCCCGACCTAATCTACATGTTATTAAGAACGCATTGGTTACAAAGATACTCTTTTCTTCAGACAACAGTCGCGCTATGGGTGTTGAATTCATCTTACGAAATCGCCATCGCTTAAAAGCTGCCGCTACGAGCGAGGTGCTTGTTGCGGCAGGTGCCATTAATTCGCCCAAATTACTGCTACAATCGGGCATTGGTCCAAGCGAGCATTTGAAGGCCCTGAACATAAAACAAGTTGCAGATTTGCCTGTAGGCAATAATCTACATGATCACGGCATGCTGCCTTTGATACTAAGGTTTGAGAGCGAATTTAGTGTGCCACCCAGTATGGGCGAACCACAAAGCGTTGCTGATTATTTTTTGCGCCAAATTGGACCACTTGCAGCTAGCATCAGCATTATGGGTTTCATTAACACCAATACGAGTAGCAGCAGCCAGTATCCCGACTTGCACTTGGTTTCGCACACGATTGTACCTACGGGTAATGCCGACAGCTTCAAATTTCTCCAGCTGCGCGATGAAATAGTCGCAGGGATTTCACGCGCGGCCGGCAATCAGAGCCTCTTACAAATCTATGGATCGTTACTACGTCCTAGTTCGAGAGGCAAAGTGCGTCTTCGCTCGGCCGATCCTCAAGCGCCGCCACTCATATACAATAACTATGCCAGCGAGCGCGCTGATCAGCTCACACTGCTAAGAAATGTGCGCTTTGTGCAGCGCATGTGCACCACTGCGGCGTTTAGAAACTACGGCTTACAGCTGTTGCACGTGCCCATTGAGGAATGTGATCAGCTGCCTTATGACTCGGATGACTATTGGATATGCTACATAAAGTACTTGTATATCGGTGCTTGGCATCCGGTGGGCACATGCCGCATGGGCGCAGACACTGATTCGCACGCTGTGGTAGATCAGCGTCTACGTGTGCGAGGCGTGGACCGGTTGCGTGTGGTGGATGCGAGCATAATGCCGGAAATATCGAGCGGCAATACGAATGGGCCAACAACTCTGATTGCCGAAAAGGCAACCATTATGATTGAAGACGACTGGAAGACGAAACTAGCGTGATTGTTTTCCATTTCTAGTATAATAAACTTATTTTAGATGCAAGGTATTTGCAGATTAAGCTGTGTCTTATTATTAATTTATTCAAACTTATAAATAATTATATGCACTATCGTCATATTTTACGCAGGAAAATAATAAAATATTTAAATCTTTTGCAAGCCGTTAATCTATTCGCGGTAACATTCTAACAACTTGTGCAACATTAGGTTATAGAAAGAGAGAGAGTTGTGGACGACACACAAGTCTGCTACCGTTATATGTTAGTGCTTTTTAGGTTAACATATTTCAGCACCGACTGCCTTATTAGATCTAGAGGTTTGATTCCTCTGAAATCGCTTTTTGGGGTTATTCAGTCCCAGAACGTTAATAAGCTCATGTAAACATTTTTGCGAACGAAACAATTGGTAGCGATACCTGTTGCTTCCTAGTAATTCTAAAATAGTGCCGATCCTCAAGCAAGTACCAGTCTGAGGCAATTTTTTTAAGTAAACACTGGGCACGTGAACTTTGAATGATTCTTTCATATAAAATGGCATGCTTTTGTACATATTTTTGACGACACAGTAAAAATTTCTTTTTTAAAACCAAAGGTATATTCAAGTATGACATTCGAAGTGTGTTGAATAATATTTTCACGAGGAAATATTACAGTATACGGCAATGGCAGCACTGATTGAAACATTTCGTACGTGTACTTTTTAAATTTCATTTGTTACATAATAGTTTTTCTTCGGGTTACGCTAAAACTAAAAAAAATTTAAAAACTTAAGAGGAAAAAGTATATTAATACCTTACCAATACTTAAGAACACTCAAATATGTTGACATTATCCTTTCCAATTTTTTCATTTTAATAAGTCTTCTTTATTCTATTTTAATAAATTCCCTTCATAATATTGATATACGTTAATTTTTAAATGAGTCCTAGATAATCTGAGCAGTACATTACTGAGGAAGAAGTAATGATTAAGTCAATGTATACAGACTGTTGATTATGAATCGTCTTGCTGACAAAATCGACAGAATTGAATAATAGAGAAAATAAAAGTAGAATGTTAGTTTTATATTTAGTTTGATTTATTTAAATTACGAATAATGGAATTATACGTAATAACAAAAAATATTAAACTAAAATCCAACTAATCCGATAATTGCTTATGAAAGGGCTTATAATTAATACATTCACACTATAAATTATTCAAGCAATTAGTTTGAACACCTGTTTAGGTGGTCTACTTAGTCTATTCAATTATTTACATATAATATAACAGGCGTTCCGAACAGCTTCTTGATGAAGTCAATTAGCAACTTTTCCTGTGTGTACCGCTTGTTAATTTATTAAATTAATTGACTGTCTGAAAAGTTGGAGTAAAAGTTTTTCGCAGTAGTCATCTTCTTATTGCAAGCAAGATAGGATGCATAGATTATTCATTCGTTTTTACTGTTTAAAATAAAAGTAATGAAAATTAATGAGCCGGATGATAAAATTTGTAATACGAAGCGTTTCGGATAATCGAAGTTCTAACTAGAAATACGGACCATAGTTAGTCGAATACTCATATCTGAAGCCAAACTTAATCTTTTCAATCTAAAACGACACTTTCTACCGTTCCCACGACAACTGGGTATACGAAACCGGAGTGAACCCAAATATCTATGGCTCTACAATCGTTTGCGGTAGTTGTCACCAAAACCATGAAACATAGCTACTCGAATTCTCGTATACGAGACTCAACCAAAGCCTACCAAGCTGATTCGATGAGAGTCAAAGTTATTCTTCCTCTGCAATTACAACATTTATATATACATTAAACTCCGGGGGTTAGATACCAACTGATTAAACTTTCTAGCTTACTTACTGCCATCATCAAAGATATTATATTTCTACCAGAGCTGACCAAGGTAGAGAAAAGTTTTTTATAACCACGGATGTTTACTATTCGACTTTAAATTTTCCATGGCCAAAGTGTAGTTTATTTTATGAAGAAAGTAAGCTTCTTGCAAAACCGATTATTAGCTTGTTTAATGAGTTTATTTATCATACATAACTACCAAGATCAATAAACATTATGAAAAGAGTACGGTGAACCCGAGATTTAAATGAGTATTTAACATTTTAATTCAGCCATTCGATTTTAGGCCTCATAATTTTTATTAAGTTCAAACTTTTGAATATTTTTTGTTGTTTATATTTTTGTTTTATTTTTATTATTTTGTCTTGTCGTTGGAAAAATTCTGCAAGCGCTGCAAATTGTAGTTTTTGGGTCAACAAAGCACTGTCTGCCGAAGTAGCATAACGCAAAGCGCATGGCCTAGCTCATTTCCAATCACAGTACAATTTTGAAAACGGTTTGAAACAGTTAAGCGCACCTGAAATTTAACAACTAACAAAAAGAAGTCTTTCTGTTGCTGTTACATTTGTGAAATGATAGGTGGAGAAGGTTTTGTAACGCTGTGGCGCTTTGTTCTCACGGCTCTACCAAGCGCGACAATCATTGTTATGCTCTTCGATGGCATAAATATTTACCGACCTGACATAGTTGATGAGGACAACCGACTGCGCGCATTGAATGTTTTGAATTTACGTGACTCATATGACTTTGTTATTATTGGTGGCGGCACGGCGGGATGTGTGCTCGCATCGCGTCTGTCGGAGGTGCGGAACTGGAGTGTGTTATTGCTGGAAGCCGGCGGTGATGAGCCCATGTTATCGGAATTGCCGATGTTGTATCCAGTATTCCAGCGCAGTCCATTTGATTGGGGTTATCGCACAGAGCCATCTGATCGCTACTGCCTCGCCATGCAAGGACAGAGTTGCTTTTGGCCGCGCGCCAAATTATTAGGCGGCTGTAGCTCAATAAATGCAATGATGCATATACGTGGTAATAGACGCGACTACGATCACTGGGCAGAATTGGGTAATGTGGGCTGGAACTATGAAAGCATTTTGCATTATTTTAGAAAATTGGAGGATATGCGTGTGCCAGGCTTCGAGAATGATCGTTTCTACCACGGTTTCGGTGGACCGGTTTCAATTGAAAATTATAGGTTTCCATCTCCGTTATTGGACGTTTTTATGGAAGCAGCCTCGGAGCTGAACCTGGTTTGATGTTAATACAAATATTTGTCAGAATTTTTTGGCTAATTTTCTACTCTTCAGCTCAATCCATTCAACGACTTCAATGGGCGCAGTCAAACCGGCTTCGCTGTGCCGCATGCCACGCTCCGCGATGGGCTGCGTTGCAGTGAAAATAAAGCATATATACGGCCAGTTTGGAAACGTCCGAACCTCGATATAGTGCTACGCGCTTTTGTCAGTCGCATAGTCGTCGATGAGGATTCGAAAGTAGCGCGTGGTGTACACTTTGAGCATTTAGGCTTCATTTATAAGGTTAGCGCACGTCGCGAAGTCTTACTCTCAGCTGGCGCTATAGCCAGCCCTCAATTGCTGATGACTTCGGGTATCGGACCCGAACAACAACTAATTCAACATGGCATACCACTTAAACAACACTTGCCTGGTGTGGGTATCAATCTACAAGATCACATATCTACTACAGGGCCACAGTATCTCGTTGACAACAGCGTAACTGGGCATCGGCTTTCGTTCATTGTGCCGGAAATGTTGAATGCGCGGTCAGTGGACTCCTTTCTACATCAGGCAGATGGATTTTTCTATGCCATGCCCATCAGCGAAGTTATGGGCTTCATGAGCACCAAATATCAGGACCCTAAACTGGATTGGCCTGATATACAAATCTTTATGGGCAGTTACGGTTATGGCGCAGACGGTGGTTTGATTGGTCGACGTGGTGGCGGTATATCGTTTGCTAATTACGAAAATGTTTTTGAGCACATGATTTACAAGGATGCCTTCACATTGACAATCTTATTAATGCGGCCCAAGAGTCGCGGTCGTCTAGAGTTAAGATCAAGCAATCCGCGCGTACATCCACGCATCTATGCCAATTATTTCGACGATCCAGTGGATATGGCAGTGATGGTAAGTTGAGAATCATACACCAACAATAAATACAATGGAGTACGTCCTTTTAAATATTGCACCACAGGTGGAAGGCGTCAAATTTGCGCATAGCTTAACACAAACCGCCATCATGCAGCGACTCAATGCCACGCTAAACATTTTCGAATGGCGCAATTGCCCCGAAGTGGAGTACCTGAGCGACGCGTTTTGGGAATGCATTGCGCGTTTCTACTCACAGACGATTTACCATCCGGTGGGCACATGCAAAATGGGCGTATACGACGATCCTTTTGCAGTGGTGGATCCACGTTTGCGCGTTTATGGTGTGCGTGGTTTGCGTGTGATCGATGCCAGCATTATGCCGACCATACCGACGGGCAATACGAATACGCCGACGATAATGATCGCCGAAAAGGGTGCGGACATGATTAAAGAGGAGTGGCTCCGTTACGGCGATGCGCAGTAAATGGGCGGATAATTCATATTTTTTGGGTTTTTTGTATTGCTGGTATCGTTAATTAATTTTTAAATCATTAAGTTTTAAATTGTTCTTTTTTTTTATGTCATCCATACGGAAAAAGCGATGAATAAGTAGGTCTTTAAACGATTTTATTTGTTTATTGAACGCATACAGTTTTTTTTTCGTAAAACTGCTTGCTAGGCATTTTCATTCCTTTTTAGAGCCCTGATCTACTTTAATTCAACAAAATATCTTGTTTTGCTGTCTCGCAATACAAAAAGAGAAAAATTGCATTAAGAAATTGTGCGACCTTCAAGTACAGGAAATAGTTATATATACATATTATTAAATATTGTACATCAAGTTTCTTCGTATAAATATTGTATGATATATTCGAATATATATCGTTTAAAAGGTTATAAATATACTGGTATGCTTCGCTACAATGAACAGAAAAATACTACTATAATGATTTACAGTCAAACATTTTACTTTCATTAGTTTATTTTTGTATATTTTTATCTCAGAATATAAGGCAACAATCCCGCCAATAACCGTTTTTATAGAGCAACCAGAAAAACTTGAAATTTATAGACGATAAATATGTGAACATAAAGTTTTGTCTGGCTTAGTACAGTGGTCGTCCAATATAATCCATTTTATATTTTACACCAAATTCACCAAATCCAAAAATTTGTTAAAGTGCTTTCAAATAAATAACCAAATAATTTAATTTAATTCAAAGACAAAAAACTATGAAAACTTTCTTTATTTAATACATAAACTAATATCAAAGTCTCACATTAGGGAAAACTGGTGCTACCAGGATCAATGTTGATTCAACGTACAAGTCAGCTCTGCTATATCATCTTCTTCATCGAATCCTACAAAACCAAAATTTAAAATAAGTCTCCAACAGATAGAATTCTTTGGCAGTTTTTCCAAAGAAAACTTCAATAGAGATTCAGCTTTGAAAATATTAATACGTTTTAAAGATTCTCAGATATTATCCGTTAATTTTATTCAAAAGGTAATTTCTGTGACGAAGTTCCGTAAGCTTAATAGCATATTCATCCATCGGTTGAATCAATGGCGTTACATTACGTGGCATAACAATTGCCCAAATCATTTCGTCAACGGTAGCTTTAACCAGTTCGTTTTCAGCTGGTTGACTTGCAGCATTAACCAAGATAAGCAGCGCTTTTTTGGAATGTTCTGTTCATCCAAAAATTCAATAACCTTTAAAACACGAATTTTTTAAACATACCGGTGGAACAAAGTGATCGAAAAACTATTTTTAAAGAATTTATAGAACGATAAATATTCATCTAAGCAGATTTCGAGTTCATATACATAAGTTAGGAGTGGCAATTTGTATTTGAAAGATCTTGTGTTCTGAGATTTTCCAATTACTAAAAATGGTAATTTCTTGTTTCCCACAACATTGGCATGCTAAAAATCTTAAACTTTCTTTGGTGTTCTTTCTTCTTGGAGCAAATGCTGCAAATATTCAGGAAGAACGCAAGTTTTTTCGTGGAGCAAATACCAACAAATACCGCTTTCATGCATTAAAGATTGCTTCGTATGTAAGCTTATAATTACGTTTTCTAGCATATTTTTAAAAAGATTCACACTATCTACAGACATATACCGAAGCGTTTTTTAAGCTTAATTTAGTCTCACATCACTGGAAAAAATTCCCTTGTAGAACTTAAAATGAAACTATGTCATCATTGCCTTTGAAACAGCACCACAAATACATAGTAATATGGTTTCGACGGTGAGTCATAAAGCATTTGTATTGTAGAAGACTTGCTCTATTTTAGGAAACTCACTTTGTTTAAAGACTCGATGTTAAATTTAGTTTTTTTTTTTATTGTATAAAGCTACAGACTTTGGTACTCCATATTTCGAGGATTTGCATATTTCAAGGTTCGAGACTCTAATTTTAGCACAGAGATGTCACGATTAACTGTTTGGGTCTTTTGCAATTGAATACGCAGCGGTAACACTATTTGCTCACTGATTGTATTCCAAAATTTACAATAAGGCAGAATTTTGTTTTGAAAAAATATATTGTTTTGATCTTATGCTAAGCTGATATTAGAAACGTCGTCCATATTTAATCAGTGATCTTTTTGTTAACAGATTCTCTTACATTGGTTATAATACATATATTTGAACGGTTTTGTAACTTCTTCAAGAGCTAGTACAAGTATTTAGGCATTAGGCAGGCTAGGACCGCAGAATGTTGAAATTGAGCCACAATGTTATGAAGTTGTAACTCAATTGCTCTATTTTGAGCCTCAACATATAAATCTCCAGAGTGTGATTGAAATTATCTCCGTCTCGGCATTTGTTACACAATTTGAGAGCATACGAGTATGTTATAAAGGAGTATGTTGTTGTTGCGCATGCGCTAAATAGTGTACGCCACCAGTGCCTGAGTGATATGTTGCAGGTGCAACTTTTGAGCAACCATAGCCTTAAACGAGTATGTATTATGTTAATAAATATTTTGCACATAACACAGCATGTAACTGTATTTGAGCGTATACACTGAAGCGCCGAGAGTCACACACCGCAAAACATTGTAAATAATATAAAGAATGAAGTACTTGCGCGATCAGTAGTCAGTCGAATGTATAACGAGAATGTCGCCGTTAGCAAACAGTTTGTACTCTAAGCGTGCGCTTTGCTACATAATGCTTGGCTGGACGTTGCTTGTAGCAGCCGTGAGTGCACAGGGTCAACGTGATGAGTTCATCATACGCGTCGCCGAACTACCCAACGACTTGCCCAATGAATCGGATAGTGCTGCAAGTGTGGGCGGTGGGTTCAATTTAAATTTTGACGATTTCTCAACCAATGTCGCGACGGGTTTGGGTGGTTTGACGATTGGCGATGCGGCGGCGCAGCAACAGCTGCAGGCGCCCGATGCGGTAGTGGAGGGTGAGTGTGCTCATACGCAGACATAATCGATGTAGTATGTTGAAATGCATTTTAACCGTTTCTCATAGGTCTGAACTTGCTGCAGCGCAACAATTTGGTGGCAGCTGCGGGAAATGCGCAGGCGCCTGGACCACAACAACGCATACGTCAGAATTTAAATAGCGGTTTGCGGCGACGTTGAGTCGACTGTGCAAACAATAGCAAACTTATCGTACTATGAATTATAAAATCAATTATTATTAATGCAGCAACTATGCGAATAACATAATTATTACTTGCCTTTAGAATATTGAGGTGACTATGCGCGCCAACTCAATGCAAACTTATTTTTTTATATACAACAGCTGAACTAAAGAGCGGCGAACAATTGTGATTCAATTAAAATTGATTTTTTGTACCTAAGTGCGGTTAATTAATTGTATATTATCACAGGTGAATGCCGTTTGGTGCGAATAATTTACTTGAAAGTGTGATTGTTTCAATTATTGCGCCAATTTCATAGCAAAATCCATAATTGTGATGTTGCCATGAAGGCTTGAGTTTTTATTTTAATAAAATAAATACTTTAATTGGCGTTTTCTACTTTTATAATCGCACATAATTATTGACTTAGGAAACCACAGTACTTCTGTTTGCACTGAAAAAAATACGCATACATTTGGAAATATATATTAGAGATGCAATTGCCGGATACCGATAACTAATGTCAGGATTGCTGATTGCTGCGTTATTATAATATAAAAATGTATAACTATTGTAATTGTAATATATATACATATACTAAGTAGGGTGTTAGTGGAAAATATAGTATAAAATATATAATCATATTTGTCAAATAATTTTATTCTCATCATAAACAATTATTTCACATTTCGTTTTTCTAAAAAAAAATTAGTCAATCCTAAAAATAGCGAAATATCTCAAACTGAGTTGACTGTAGTTGACTTAAATAAGTTAAGACAGATGATACTTTACAAATGTAAACTATTTGACTCTAAAAACTATTTTCTTATAGTTTGTAAAACTTACTTCAAGGAAGTCCTTATTGAAGCAAAAATACTTCGAAATCAAAATGATACAGATGTTGCTAGTTAAGCTCAATCCATTTTCTGGGATGTCATAATAAGGAAACTACGGGAAAACATTTTCTATTGCGCGCAAATGTGATTTTGATTTTCCAAATTGATGTTAAATTAGAAATATTGTAACTTCGGTACTTGCAAATGTCAAAAAGTTGTCAATTTCAATAGTTATAACATTTCACACGAAGTGGATTGACAATCATATATTCAACTTTTTCACCAGATTGCCAATTTGGCTCGCTTTCATAGATTTCACTACGACTGTCTTTAAATTTAATTTTTAGTAAATCTCTCTCTCAAAACTGGTATGATCCACGAACACAAAAAAATTATTTTATATTCAATCTGTTCTTTTAATTTTTTTGTAACTTTTTCATATGTTAACAACCTGTTTACTTCAAATAAACTGAAAAATTAACTCAGATGGTAAGGAATCTAGCTGCCAGATATTCATTACATCTTTAGTACGAATAGATGCATTTATTTTTGTACAAAATAAAAATAAAAAAACTCAAACATTTGGATATTTCAATTTTTCACATAAAATTTTGAGGAAATGTGTGTGAAAGGTTTTAATACAATAGTTGTAGATCTTTTCATTACCAACAAAATTGCCATATAACTTGTTCCTATAGGACCCGACTTTGCCGGAAATCACGATAAACCATTTTTAACCCTTAAAAATTTCACCACGCCCCTTCCTGTCCTCTTCTCGACCACAGATTGCATGTAAATTATTTTATATATTAGTTTTGTTATTTTATCTCTCGTTTCCCATGGGTTAATTTTAACATGGTTTTTTTGCTTTCAAAAATTATCTACCTTGGTCTAATTTGTTTGATACCACTATATAAGTATTTTGTACGACAATAAGATATATTTCTATAATTTAAACAATTTATTTCTTTAAAACAGTTTGTATTGTATAAAAAATCTAGACAAACAGTATATTCTAAGATGAAAATCAAATAAAATTCCCGAATTATCCTTGTCTGGGAAACGAATAGAAAACAAGGCATGTGTTTACAAATTATCATTTAGTAGCCCCGAACTATCAGCTGATCAAAGTTGTCATTGGGACATCCTTTACCACGTGGTGGGTTTCTTTAAGTATTTCGTACAGATATGTGAGCACTACTAATTATTTTTATGAATTGTATTTTATGTATTGCGTGTTGTATTTTCATCAATTACATAACTTTAGTGTGATACAGCGACCTTTAGGCAGCACTGTTCTTAGATCATAATAAAGCTCTCGCAACATGTTGCTACAGAGTACAATAGTTTTGTTGTTGTTTGTATCACCTAAAACTAATCGAGTTAGATATAGTATTATATATATATAAATGATCAGGATGAAAAAACGAGTTGAAATCCGGGTAACTGTTTGTCATTCTGTCCGTTCGCCCCTCTATCGACAGTGTGAAAAAGGGGGAAATCGGATGACAACCTCGCCCACTCCTTAAACTGTTGCTACTGTTAAAAACTACGAAAAGCGCGATAAATCAAGCACTAAACACGCCAGAGACATTGGATTTGCTTAGCTGATTTCAACCAACTTCTTCTCATATTTCTATGTTAAAGTGCGAAAATGGGTGAAATCGGACTACAACCACGCCCATTATATATAACACCATTTTAAATTCCATATGATTATTTCACTCTCCACTATACAAATCAAGCAACAATGATTGTATCGGGGTAAAACTTTGCGTGAATAATGTGTTTAAAGTATGCCACCTTGTGACTAAAAGTTGTCTAAATCGAACTAAAACTGTTCAAGCCCCTAGGTACTGAATATGTGGACCCCAGTGCCTATAGTTGACTTTTTACCGATAATATCGGTCAATGTGTAAGATATAAAATTGAAATTCACATAATAAAATAAATAAATGAAACTCTCGATAATAGTATGTTTTTGTGTCAGAAATGGGTTTAATCGTATTAATCTTCGATAACTTGAGTAAAAATTGAGATATCCTAATGAAATTTGGTACACGTGTTCTTTAAAAAATAATTGAAGAGGAGTTCGTAGATGGGTGTAATGAGACCACAAAATTGCAAAATTAAGATACAAAACCGTAATTTAATACAATGAATCGCAATAATTAAGTCTGACTAAATTCGGGTGTAACCGAACAGTTTATACTCGTGCAATTCGCAAGGTTCAAAACCAGTCATGTACTTACATAGTTTTATTAATATATGTACAAATTAAATAATCGAATCAACAAAAATTATATTAAATTCATTCTCAAATGAGATATATCTGATACTGAACTTAACCAAAGGGCTAGGGCAAGTTTTCACCCGATTTTCTCTTGTTTTCACTAAGACAAATCACATATTGACCAATATATGCGGTATAAAGTAAATCGGGAGTTTGAAAATATTTGTATTAGGTATATAGCGGCTAGGAGAAGCCTTCATTCAATTCAACCCATTTTTGACATACAGACATACTGTTATCAGGAAAGGATTTGATGCGAATTTGGATAACATATCACACGGATTCACCGATATTTAAATTGTTCGCTGTAGGAACTGAGGTCCACATACTCGGTATCTGGGAGCTTGAACAGTTGTCTTCCGATTTTGAAAATTTTTGGTCACAAGGTGGGCTACTTTAAGCTCACTATTCGGGCAAAATTGTATTCCCATACGTTTATTGGTGCTTGATTTGCATACGGAAAGTGAAAGAATCAGCTGGAATTTAAAATTGTGTTATATGGGAAGTACAATACATAGATGTGGTTGTAGTTCAATTTAGCCTTTTTTTGCACTGGATCATACGAATATGAAGATAAAATTACCTAAAGAATTCGGTCGAAATCGGTCAAGTAGGTCCTGAGATATGAGTTTTCACCTGAATGTAGGCGGTGCCACGCCCATTGACTTATTTTGACTCCGGCTCTTATACAACTACTCGTACCATCTTCAATGTAAATTTTTATGTGTCTGGAGTATTTATTTATTGATTTGTCACGCTTTCAGTAGTTTTTAACTAAACCGTTATATGGGAAGTGGGCGGGGGTATCATCCGATTTCAGGTTTAGGAGATAGGTACATTAAACCTATCAAAAGTTTTCAACTTTTCAGCCCACAGGTGCCCCTTGCTACTGCGATCTTTTACACTAAATTACAGTTTTATATCTTAATTTAGTGCTTAGGTATGGCACTTTATAGATTTTCGTTTAATGGCGTTTTGTGTGTATGGACATTCATTCGGATGTAAGACATTCGGATGTCAACTCGTATCGTCATCCTGATCATTTATATAGCACATATATAACCCTTTATCTTTCTCGATAAAATTTAGGTGACACAAATAACCGTTAGGTGAACAAAACTGTTATACTCTGAAGCAACATGTTGCAAGAGTATAAAAATGTTGCGAAAAAATTCAACTTGCACTATTCCAAGAAACCGAATAGATTAAAAGCAAATTTGGTATCTTATTAACTTATTGTATATATATTATAGACCGTGGAGTCACTTAGTTTCATTATCATTTTCCTTCGCGTCCGTAAGTGATATAAACTCAATCAAAGAGGCTAAACTTAATTATTGGGTATATGAGGAAAAACCAAGCTAAGCCAAATTGGAAGTCATTATTTTATACCAAGGCCGGGACCCATTTCTTTCATATTCAGCGCTAGGCCACATTATGTTTAAGAATTGCACTTAATTTCATTAAAATATCACACATTTTGACCATTATAAATGCTCTAAAGCCAAATGGGGACAGAAGATTGATGGAGAGTTAAAATAGCTGAAAAAAGCTAGATTTGGTATATCGAAGCTAGGAGAAATCTGTACTGATTGCATTAACTATTGGCATTATTCCATTATTCAAATTTACCAAGAATATATTTCAATGCAGTTTTATGAAGATAACTCACACATAGACCGACATATTTTACATAGAGTCTGTTAGAATAAAAAAAATCAAATTGTATAGCAAATGGGAGTTTCGGCAATTCGTAGAACAATTTCACATATTTTCGGAACTAACCTGAAATTTATACAATATTATACGTTCACTTAAGTTTGCTAAGACCTGTTACACATTGAGCGATATATTCGATATAAAGCCAACTGGAAGTTTAAAATACTAACTGTAATACCCTAATACTAATAACAAATGGAGACTAAGCGTGAAATTGCTAATGCTGTAGTCATCGATGTTAAGATGAACGTGTACTTCATATTTTACATGGATAATTACATACAAGTATGAAGAAGCTGTTTGGAAATTTAGTGCTGCACACGTTAACAATTCAACAGAAACTAGATCGAAAATAAATTTCTCAGCATAACTTGGAGCTTTTAAGCAGAATAACGACGATTTCTTGCGTCGTTTTATAACTATGGATGAGACTTGGATGATCCTAAATTGAAACGAGAACATTTACAGTGGACTAAAGCTGGTTGTTCAGCTCCAAAGCAAATGAAGTAACAACTATCAGCAAAGAAGGTTATGGCATCAGCTGGATGAAAAAAATTTGTGAGAAAAGACCTGGTTTGCAGCACAAAAAAATTACTTTTCATCAAGTAAAAGCACCTGTTCACAAAGGTGTTTTAACAATGACAAAATTCAACGAATTAAAGTACGAATTGCTTGAGCATTCACCGTATTCACCAGATTTGGCTCCCAGCGACTACTATCTTTTCAGAAACCGAAAACAATTCCTTCGTGGAAAGCGCTTTTCGTCGAATGAAGAAACTATTACAGCCGTAGACGGGTATTTGGCAGAGCTTCTGGATCATTATAGGGATGGTATAAAATTATTGGACGATCATTGGAATAAGTGTATTGAAGTTAAGGGAGATTATATTGAATAAAAAATATATTTCATACCAAACAGTGTTTTTTCATTTCGAGCGCAGAAACTTTTCAGCCAACCTGTATGTGTATGGTTTTATACCATGCTGGAAAATACCGGATGTTTGAAAATCCATACGTTAGGTATTTGGGATCTAGGGCATAAGAACAAAGAGTTATTAAATAGAGATGCTATCTTAATTTGTTTAAAAAAATATTCTCACCAAATTTTAATACTAGACCTCCCAGATCGACCGATATTTTCGGTAAAAAATAAAAATGGGCTATATATTTGACATAAAAAGTTATAGTCCGATTCCGCCTATTTTCGGACGTAAGTAATTGCATACCTTAAATATACTTTACGTGCAATGTTTGATTTTTTTAGTCTTTATTATTTTATTAATTTTATATTCCATCTCTTCTTTTAATTTTTCAACTTTTTTAAATGTCAACAATTTTTTTACTTAAAATAAATTGGAAATTCTATTCAGCTCGTAAATTATCTAGCTGTCGGATATTCATTACATTTTTAGTACAAATATAAACATTTATTATTATACCCTTCTTTGACAGAGATCGGGACTACTATGGAAAAATTCTCCTATCAAAGTGATTTGTATCTTGAAAGTGGGCCTGGATCGAAAATATTTTTAACGTTGTTATTATGCATGTTATATTCGAAAAGGATGCTCTTTGGAATTTTTTCAGACAAATGGAAGTTTCTGCTATGTTTCTACCACCTTCGGAAGCTTTCTAGTTTTTTATTATACATTTTTTAATTGAAAAAACTGTCTTTCGACAGTCTGCCTATTCAGAAAACTATTTGGCCCCAATCCATAAATGGTAAATTTAAAGTCAATTCTCTCGGATAATATTAACATATATATAAATAATAGTTGTTAGAACGAATACAAAGTTGTGGTCGGGACGGGGTTCTGATAACTGTTACCATGGTTCACCGGCAGAAAAAGACACATTATTTGTTATCGTCGTAGGTACTTCAAATATAAAATAAAAAACCTCAGCCGGTCAGCCATAAAATACGAACGAAAAAGGTGAAAAATATATAAGAAAAAACCCTGGAGAAGTGAAAAGATATACCACTTATGTCTGCGTTCAATTTTTCACAATTTGCTTGATATAAAAATGAGAGTACAGCAAAAAAACGAGACAAAATCCAATAAAAAAAGATTTCTGATCGTGCGACTATGATCGAGTCGTTATATAACTAAACATAAGGAAAATGTAACTCTTCAAAATAAGGTAAACTATAATATATCAGGTACAACATAATAGTATTTTGGAAATTAATTAGATAAACAGGTTGTCTTGTATAAAAAATTCAGACAAATTTCGTGCCTGATATAGACCTGGCCATACGAGAAAATATTTCATAATAAGACGTTTTTTTATAATAGCGATAACCTCTCGACAAAGAATTTAAAATCCTCGAGTATATTCTAAGATGAAAATAAAATAAAATTCTAGAACCATCTTATCTCGAACACGAATAGAAAACAAGGCAGGTGTTCTATTTTGTGACCGCCAGCAATCAGCTGATAAAAGTTGTGACCACGTGGTGATTTTTTGTAAGTATTTAGTACAGATATGCGAGCACTACTAATTATTATTGTTATGAGTTGTATTTTTATACTCTTGCAACATTTTGCTACAGGGTATAAGAAGTACAAGTAGTTTTGTTCTCCTAACAATTGATAGTATCACCTAAAACTAATTGAGAAAAATATGGAGTTATATATATATAAATGATCAGGATGACTAGACGAGCTGAATTCCGAGTGACTGTCTGTTCGTCTGTCCGTCCGTGCAAGCGATAACTTGAGTAAAAATTGAGATATATTGATGAAACAACCCAAGGTGTTGGTATTGCAGATGGGCAGAATTGGAACATTACCACGCCCACAAAACTCCATTAATCGAAAACAAATATAAGTGCCATAACTAAGCACCACAATAAGATACCCTCTGTGAAAATGAGTGAATAATATCGGATAATAACCTCGCCCACTCCCTTTATAACGGTTTCTTAAAAACTATATATATATATATATATAAAGGGCGATTAATCTATAACTACAAGCGCCAGAGACATGCAATTTTACAACTGAAATCTTACGAATGGGCTTTATGAAGCCGGTGTCAAATTTGGACGATGGGCGTGGCACCGCGCACAGTTAGGTGTAAACCCACTTTCCGTTATCAACTCGACCGATTTAAAAAAAAATCAGTAGTCCTAACATTCCTATTTTCCAGTGCGAAAAAGAGCGAAATCAGATTATGTATAACTCTCCTTATAACACAATTTTAGTTTTTATCTGGATAAAATTTTGCACGAATAGTGCCTTCGAGGTCTGCCACCTTATCACCAAAAATTGTCCAAGTCGAGCCAAAACTATTCAAGCCCTTAGATACCGAACTTGCAAAGTGGCGAGAGTATAAAATGTTCGGTTACACCTGAACTTAACTATTCCTTACTTGTTTGTATTGCGTGTTGTATACACAGCAATTACATAACTTTAATGAGATGCAGTGACCTTTAGGCAGCACCGTTCTTAGTACATTATTGTAGAACTTGAATTCATGACCAGGCCTTCTTTATTTATATGCCGTCAGTCATACGCATAATTATCAATGAAATATCAATAATGTTAAATGCATTAATTTAAATTAAAACAATCGTGAGAAACTAAATTCTAACGCAGTGGATTATAAAAAGAAGGTTTTCTATGATAAGCTCCGTCAGTATTTTATTGAACTGTGGCAAGTTTAACAAATCAAATTCTTAGTAAAGCGCAACGAAAACAGTTTCCAACAAGGACCAATATAATCATCGATTCACTTCATATTAAATATAAATAATATATTAGAGCGTTAATGTAATAAGTAAGATAATGAGTGGAAATATTGCAGGTTATATACGTATAAAGGTTGTCATAGTATACACTATACTTTTTTCAGAACTAACTCATCACAATGTCATCGCTACTAAGCAATCAATGCGCTGCACAAAGCGTCGGCACTTTCAACAACTTGGTGACGACGCTAATCCAGGCTCTGTTAGTCGCACAGTGCGAAATCTCACCGCCCGAGCTGTGGCCAAAAGACTACGCAGTTCATGCATTGGAACATGGTTTGGACGCGTATGACTTTGTGGTGGTAGGTGCGGGCTCAGCGGGTTCAGTGATGGCCAGTCGGTTGAGCGAGAATCCAAACTGGAAAGTGTTAATGTTGGAGGCAGGCAGCGATCCGCCACAAGAATCTGAGGTGGGCTTGTTAGCTAATTAGAATAAAAAAGTGCTTTTATTAAACGCATTTTTATAGGTGCCGAACCTTTCTTTCGCTTTGCAGCATACAAATGTTACTTGGAATTATTTGACTGAGTACAGCGATAGGGCTTGCTTAGGCTTTTTTGATCGGCGTTGCTTTTTGCCACGCGGTAAAATGATTGGTGGCACAGGTGCTCTTAATGCCATGCTTTATGTGCGTGGAAATCCTCGTGATTACGACCGTTGGGCTCAAGCTGGTAATGTAGGTTGGGGTTGGAACGATGTGTTGCCGTATTTTGAACGTTCAGTGCGTCCTATTGGTAATGACACCCACCCACAGGGTTATGTAACACTCAATAATTTTCCAGTCACCGATCCGGAGTTAGAACAAATGATCTATGCAGGTAGTGCAGAGTTGGGCATACCCCGCGTAGATTTATTCACTGAAGGCAGTGAGACCGGATATTCCAATATTCCGGGCACTATTCGTAATGGACGTCGAACGAGCACTGGAAAGGGACATCTCGCTCATGTTGCAAATCGACCCAACATGCAAGTTATTAAAAATGCGCACGTGACCAAACTAATTTTCGACGAGACTAGCAAAAATGTACACTCAGTAAGCTTCATATTGCAAGATCGATATGAAATGAAAGTCGACGTTACGAAAGAGTTGGTGTTGTCAGCAGGTGCAATAGATTCACCAAAGCTACTGATGTTGTCTGGTGTCGGTCCAGCAAAACATTTGGCTGATTTGAATATACCGCTTATACATGACTTGCCCATCGGTGATAATCTGCAAGATCATGTCCACATTTTAACTTTCTTAAAATTGAACGAGAACACAGCGAATGTATGGATAAAGGAAGATTCCTTAAACAGCACCTTTAATTACCTAATTTACCGGAAAGGCCCCTTGACCGCTCAGGGCAGCGCATCGCTTACCGGTTTCGTAAATACGCTGACAAATAGTACTTATCCAGATATTTCCATCCACCATTACTTTTATAGACGTGGTAATTTGGCTGGACTGCAGCTTTTCTTAAATGGACCTAATTTTAACGACGTTTTCAAATCGACACTTCTTAAGGCTTTAGAAACTGCTGACATTTTGATCATGCTCAATATACTCTCCCATCCAAAGTCTACCGGACAGATACGTCTCCGCAGCACCGATTACAAAGATCCGCCTAAACTGACCCCAAACTATTTCAGCGAACCTGAAGATATGAGCACTCTACTACGTGCTATACGTTTCCAAGAGCAATTGTTGAAGACTTCAGCTTATAAGACAATGAATGCCACTTTACTACTTCCACCAATTGATGAGTGTGATGTTCACAAACCTCAAAGCGATGATTACTGGCATTGCTATATGAAGTATTTCTCCACTACTACTTATCACCCATCGGGTACGGTTAAAATGGCCCCTGAAACAGATGGGACCAGTTGTGTGAATCCACGTTTGCTTTTAGACGGTTGTGGTAATGTACGCGTAACCGATGCCAGTATTATACCACAGATTCCCAGCGCCAACATAAATGCCGCTACCATAATGATAGCTGAAAAGGCAGTTGATTTCATTCGAGAAGATTGGTTGGAAGCGGACTCTGAAGAAGAGAATTGGCAATATTAAAGCTCTAGCTGGAGACTTTGTCTACAAAAAACCAAACATAATATTACTTGTTCTATTTGAGTCAGGAATAATTTATTAAATCCGGTTTTCGTAAAATTAACTGTTCTGTTAAATTAACAAATCATTGATTAGTTACTTGAAATCAGATGGATTTGCGATAAGAAATCATTTTTATAGTATTGCAACATGTTGTTACAGATCATAATAGTTTTGATTCCCAACCGTTTATATCATCTAAAAATAATCGAGTTAGAAGTAGGTGTCATGTATATATAAATGATCAAGATGATAAGACGAGTTGAAATCTGAGTGACTGTCTGCTTGTACGTGAAAAATGCGATAAATATATTGCTAAATGCGCCAGAGGCATACAATTTACACCCGATATAGCACGGAAAGGCTTTATATTAGCCGTTTTTAAATTTGAACGATGGGCGTGGCACCGCCCACAGTTAGATGAAAACTCGTATAAGTGGAGTATAAAATGTTCGGTTACACCGAAACTTAGCCCTTCCTTACTTGCTTATATTTGTTTAGTGCCAGTTATGCAATCAATTGGAAGAAAACCTGTAATGATTATAAATACATTTTCCTTAGGCATATTTCCTTGCTGGCTTGTAAAGTATTGTATTTTATTTGTTTGTATATTCAACGAAGCGTAAATATCTTGCAATTAAGTCGGTAAGCTTGAATACAACTTGCTACTGGACTCATATAGGAACACAAAAGCCTTGCTTCATCAGCTCCAAAAATCCTTGTCTTATCTATTTCACCTTTTTTTTCTTCTCTCCATCTCGATATCAAGAATTCTTAGTCGTGCCCCACGACGTAGTAAGAGAGAGAGAGAGAGAAAAAAAATGTTCCAAAACCGTCAGTGTTGTACAAGTACCTATAATATCGGTATAGATAAAGACGAAGATTTCTCGATTCACGCTACCTCTATTTTTATTTCAGGAAAATTTCGTTCGGTAGGCTGCTTTGAAAACTTTGAAACTACTCACACGTTACTTTTGATTACCATGATTTTTTGTTTATGTAGGGAAACCATCGCTGGGCTCTAAAAATACAGATATTTTATACTAAAACCTTGTGTTCATAAAATAAGAATATAAAAATATTGTGGCCATAAGTTAATATTATGTATAGAAAATTATACTTTTGAGACATTTACATTGGTACACAAATATTCATACATATGTAAACAATAAATGAAATGCAAAAATACAGTCCACTAAATGTCAAGTGCAATGATAGGCAATAAAATTGTAGTATAAGGCTTTGCTCATAAAATTGTACAAATCATTGCCTATCGAAGAATATACATAAATACAGTGTACTCGTGTAGCAAAATACATACAAACATATTTAAGATACACCATGAATAATAAAACATACACATGCATTAAGTTGTATAATTTGAAACAACCCTATATTGGATGACAATATGCTTTAATATACAAAACATGGGTATGTTACACCAAATACCAATACCACAATCAGCAACTGATAAAATTCGTTAGCTGTACTTAAGTCACACAGTGAACGAAAACAATTTACTATAACAACTAAGGAAGGGATAAGTTCGGGTGTAACCGAACTTTTTATACTTTTGCAAATTGCAAGAATCAAAGCCAGCTAAATAACTTCAGGTGTTGGCAAAACTATATATCAAAAAATTTTGCAAAGAATTAAACATTTATTAATCAAAGAAACCGTGAATTATAATCAAATTTGGAACCTCTTGACTTATATTGAAGGCCATAAACATAGACTTAGTTTTAAAGCGATATTTTAGTCCGCGTTAGCAAAAATTATATTAACAAGTAAGGTAGGGCTAAGTTCGGATGTAACCGAACATTTTATACTCTCGCAAAGTCAAATGGTATACTCGTTTGAGATTTCTTTGTGGATTGGCTGATATTTTCGGTAGAAGGTCAACTATAGGCACTGGGCTCCACATATTTAGTACTTAGAGGCTTGAACAGTTTTGATTCGATTTAGACAATTTTTGGTCACAAGGTGGCATACTTTAAACGTATTATTCACGCAAAGTTTTACCCCGATATAATCATTGTTCCTGGATATAGTGGAAAGTGAAAGAATCAGATGGAATTGAAAATGGTGTAATATGGGAAATAGGCGTGGCTGTAGTACAATTTCGCCCATTTTCGCACTATAACATAGAAATATGAAAACAACGTTATGCACCGAATTTGGTTGAAATCGGTTAAGCAGATCCCAAGCTATGGGTTTTCACCTAAAAGTGGGCTGTGGCACGCCCACTGTCTAATTTTGAACGCGATTAATATAAAGTCATCTCATACCATCCCAGAGATAAAATTTAATGTTTCTGGCGTGTTTAGTGCTTGATTTATCGCGCTTTTAGTAGTTTTTAATCAATAGAAGTGCTAAAAACATTTGATTCTAGTGAATTTTGTTATTATAGCATTAGCGGTTTGGGAGATATGCACATTAAACCTATTAGAGGCGGGACCACGCCCACTTTAAAAAAAATTTTTAACTGCAGATGCCCCCACCTAATGTGATCCTGTGTACCAAATAAGAGTCTTGTATCTTGTAGTGGAGCTTAGTTATGGCAATTTATTTGTTTTTGATTAATGGCGTTTCGTGGGCGTGGCAGTGGTCCGATTACGGCCATCTGCAATACCAACCGTCATACGGTACCAAGAAACATGTATACCAAGTTTCAAAAAGATATCTCAAGTTTTACTCAAGTTACAGCTTGCACAGACGGACGGACAGACAGCCGCTCGGTTTCTAACCCGTCTCTTCATCCTGATCATTTATATATACATAACCTTATATCTAACTCGGTTAATTTTGGGTTAGGTGAACAAAACTATTAAACTCTGTAGCAACATGTTTCAAGAGTATAAAAACCCCATGCATTAGTAACATGTTTGAAGTATGCAATAAAATAAAATACATATTTACAAATATGTACATAAATATACACACACATATACCATATACGTAGTTAAGAAATTAGATTAAGTAAATTTATAAAATGAAGAATATGCTACAAACAAATTCAGCAATTTGAAACTGATGTTGTTTCAGAATGGAATAAGGTTTTGTGTATCTTGAGCGTTGGTGGCAGATCAAAACGGTCTACTTTAAGAAATCCAGCAAGGAGTAGAGACTGTCACGGGGCACATGGCGAATACAGGCATAAATAAGGGGTTACCGAAACGGACTTTACTTTAACGAATGCACCTCGGCCGTTTGAACGCAAGATCTGTCACGATGTTCCGAATGTTTCAATAATACAGAAGTTAGTCTATTAGGATGGAAAGAACTCAAAATTTATAATGAATACAGTTGTTGAAAGATGCTATAATATACATTCGCAGCTTAGTTGGGATCGCAAACTACAAGGTGCAATTCAAAAGTTTCAGGACTTTTATTAAAAAACGAATATTATTTGTTTTTTTGAAAAATTTATTGGTCGCCTTCAAAATAGTCTCCTTCCGCCTGAATACAACGTTTTGCACGTTCAAGAAGGTTATCGAATGACTTTTTTAGGTCAACTGTCGGTATAGCGTTGAGGATGGCATCGAGGTCAGCATAGCGGTTTCCTTTCATGGCCAAATGTAGTTTTCCGAAAGGGTGGAAGTCGCACGGTGCCATATCAGGTGAATACGGGGAGTAGTTGATTGTTAAAATTTGATTTTTGGTCAAATAATCGGCCACATGCGTCGATCGATGAGACGGCGCATTATCGTGCAACAAACGCCAACTTCCATCTTCGCGATATTCGGGCCGAATGCGACGAATACGTGCTACCAAACGCTTCAAAACTCCAAGGTAGAATACCGCATTAACGTTTTGGCCGGGTGGAACAAATTCTTTGGGGACAATACCCTTGGAATCATAAAAACAAATCAGCATTGTCTTTACTTTTGACTTCTCCAGGCGCGATTTTTTGGGTTTCGACTCATTTCTCATTTATGTCCTCACGACCACTTTGAAAACGTTTAAACAACTCGTGAATACGGCTACGGGATTGACAATCATCGCCATAAACTTGTTTCATCATTTGATGAGTTTTGGTAAAAGTTTTACCAAGTTTAAAACAAAACTTAATGTTGGCTCTTTGTTCGATGCTCATTTTCCGACCGACCCTACAAATGAAATGTCACATGTAACGCGATATCTCAGCTGTTATACAAGTCAGCTGTTATATAAATTCTTTACGACAACACTGAAGAATACACAATTGAGGGATAACAATTTCAGATAGCCGCCGCGTTGTTTAAAAAGTCCTGGAACTTTTGAATTGTACCTTGTATATCGATCGAAGTGTATAGCAACAAGTTGCCTTGCAAAGTTTGTGGTATATTGAAATTTAAACCGTTGAATTCCACAGTTTTTGCTGCCGAAGTGAATCTTTCTGTAATCCACATGCATAATATATTGTGTGTGTATTTCGGGAAATATGCTGACGTTAAGTATTTTATTTCTTTAGTTCATTATCGTTGTATACATTCATATACCATATACATATATAAGTAATTCTCTATTTAGGTATCTTCATTAGTTTTAGGTGTTATAAACAAGCGTAAGGTGAACAAAACTATTACACTCTGTAGCAATATATTCTGAGAATGTAGCTTTCGGTGAGCTTTTCGGAGACACTTTCTTCCTCGACCAATAATTTTACATCTTCGAGTATATTCTGAGTTATAAATCATATGGAATCACGAACCACCCTTATTTGGGAAATAAATGACCTAAGTAGAAAACAAGAATATATGAAGTATCATTTAGTGACTGACTATGCAGCTTATCAAAGATGTCAGTTTTCTATAATATACCACGTGGCTGGTTTTTGTAAGTAATACAGATTTCGGAGCACTACTAATTATTACTATTACGAGTTGTATTTTTAGTATTGCGTGTTATTTCTCGTATATTCTAAAACTATCACTGAAATTCAACATTCGTGAGAAACCTAATTCTTATCTTCTTAGATAGTTGACTATAAAAATATGGGTTTCTATGATCAGCCCAATCAGTATTTTATTGAGCTGTTTCACGTTAACAAATCACAATATGTTTTCAACCGGGACCAATGTAATCCTCGATTCACTTTATATTATATATAGATATTATATTATTATTATATATATTATAGTAGAGGGGTATATAAAGGAAGTGATGAGTACACACTCTAACTATTTCAGAGTTAATTCATAACAATGTTACCCCTACTCAATCAATACGCACAAAGCGTCGGCCCTTTTAAAAACTTGGTGACCACGCTCGGTTGGTCGCACAGTGTGAAATCTCACCGCCCGAGCTGTGGCCAAAAGACTACTCTGTTTATGCATTGGAATATGGTTTTGACACGTATGACTTTATAGTGAAAGGTGCGGGCTCTGACCGAGAATCCAAACTACCTTCCGGTTAGTGTTAGAGGCAGGCAGCGATCCGCCACAAGTCCAAGGTGAGCATGTCAAATAATTAGAATAAAACAGCTCTCTAATTACATATTTTCAGAGGTACCGAACCTTTACTTTGCTTTGCAGCATACAAATGTCAATTGGAATTATTTGATAGAGTACAGCGACAGGGCTTTCTTTGGCTGTTTTGAGCGGCGTTGCTATTGGCCACGCGGTAAAATGATTGGTGGCTCAGGTGCTATTAATGGTATGCTTTATCGTATGTGCGTGTAAATCACCGTGATTACGACCGTTGGACTTAAGCTGGCTGGGGTTGGAATGATTTGTTGCCATATTTTGAACGCTCAGCGCGCCTTTGGTAATGACACCCACCCACAGGGTTATGTAACACTCAATAATTTTCCAGTGACCGATCCGAAATTAGAACAAATGATCTATGCAGTTAGCGCAGAGTTGGACATACCCTGCGTGCACTTATTCAATGGACGTCGAAAGAGCACTGGCATGGCAAAATTCGATGAGACCGGCAAAAATGTACACTCAGTAAGCTCCATATTACAAGATCGATATTAAATGAAAGTCGACGTTAGGAAAGAGTTGTTGTTGCCAGCAGGTGCAAGAGACTCACCAAAGCTACTGATGTTGTCTGGTGTCGGACCAGCAAAACATTTTATGCTGACTTGCCCATCGGTTCGGTAACTGGTTTCGTAAATTCGCTGAAAAGATAGTTCGTATCCACATATTTCCATTCACCACTATTTTTAGGACGTGGTAATTTTGCCCTGCTTCTCAAGGCTTTAGAAAGTGTCGACATTTTGATCATACTCCATATACTCTCCCATCCAAAGTCTATGAGACAAATACGTCTGCGTAGCACCGATTATAAGGATCCGTCTAAGATGACATCAAACTATTTCAGCGAACCTGAAGATAAGAGCATTCTACTGTGTGCTATACGTTTCCAAGAGCAATTGTTGAAGACTTCAGCCTATAAGACAATGAATGCCACTTTACTACTTCCACCACTTGATGAGTGTGATGTTCACAAACCTCAAAGCGATGATTACTGGCGCTGCTATATGAAGTATTTCTCCACTACTACTTATCACCCATCGGGTACGGTTAAAATGGCCTCTGAAACGGTAGACGGTTGTGGTAATGTACGCGTAACCGATGCCAGTATTATACCACAGATTCTCAGCGCCAATATAAATGCCACTACCATAAGATAGCTGAAAAAGCAGTTGATTTCATTCGAGAAGATTGGTTCGAAGAGGACTTAGTAGAGGAGGATTGGCAATATTAAAGCTCTAGCAGGATACCTTGTCTAGAAATAAACATACTTATATTTGATATTACTTGCTCAATTTTTGTTTCAACTAATTATTTGTAGTCATAATTTTATTGATTTATGATTCATTATCCGAAAACTGTTTCGATATGTTAAGGAGTCTGAGAGTTAAACAGGACTTTATTTCAAGAACCGGCCTGTATATTCTACGGAGAATAAATAAATTCCTTGTAATAGAGTCGGTTAGCCTGAATGTACCTTGCTACTGGGCTTGTGGAGGAACACAAATTTTTTTATTTATTAGCTCAGCAAAGCCTGGTCTCATTACAACTTTGCTTCTTCTCGCCATTTCGAAACTTAATGCTTTCAATTAAATAATGCTGGACGTGAACGAATACGTACTAAGAAAGTGAAGGAGATATTGAGTTCCCTCAAAAAATACTTTTACGTTTCTTCTATTTTCCTTTCTATTCAGCTATATCGCGCAGCTTTAATTGAAGCTCGAGATCATGGACTTTTGTCAGTTTATCCTCTGTGGTGGATGTTTTCGGGGCACGTGAGTATCGTTAATCATCGTTAATTAATCGACGTGCCAGCAAGTTGAATTCACAGCGCGATTTCCCTTCCGACAACAAGTATCATATTATCGACCGATATTGGTACAAGGCAATTCCAATTTCTATAGGAAGCAAAATCTCATTTCTCAAATCAAAGTGGGATGTTTACGTGTTTTTATTAACCAAAATTCTGTTTAACCAACTCTGTACTCAAGTTGTACTATTTAGGACTTCTTATCACTTTAAATTCCGGCTTTAATAATGGTAAGACACTTGGAATTTCAGATCGATTACTGCTACTTTTGCATTACAGTAGCATATAGATCTTTTCACACTTGGCAAGTTTTGATCTATGATAAGCCTCATAACCTAACCCCTATTTCAATTAGACTCCAAACAGTAACATACTATTGGTTCTATCTATTAAAGAAGTGTTTCTTTTAAATTTTCGAATGAATAGGTATAAATTACATTGGAAATAAATTCGGACTAGTGTATATATCATTACATAATCCAGCCTAAAAAGTATATCTGTACTTAAATATCACCCAATTCTTTCAAAATTTTGGATACTTTTAAGGTTATCAAAGGTTTTGAACTATACCGATTGAATTTTTATGATTTGGATAAAATGTTTCAGACTCCAGGAATAGTTTTTTAACTAGCTGATGAGATTAATAAAAAGAAATGACAGTCTGGCTTTTTTTGTTAGTGTACTACCTCACTTGAGTGCAAAAGAAGATCATTTTATTGCCATGCACCACGACGAACTTCAGAGATATCAAAAAAAATCATCCTCATACCTGAGCGAATATACAGTAGCTTTTATTATCGAGATAAACTCTAAAAATATGGAAACATCATTTCTTCTTTTATTTTTAGCACTTAAGGTTATTTACTGCTAATAATTACGCTGAACGCAATTGGCGATAAGCTGTTTTACGGAATATGTGCTGTTTCTTTCAACTGCAACTTAATAAGCGTTGTCTCAGTGTAAAAATTTGTGAAAATCGTAAAACGAAAATTAATTAATGTATGTAAGTAGGCATTGACACAAATTGCATTAAAGCAATGACTTGAAAAAGAGCAATTAAAAGCTTGTGCACGCGTCTGTTATATAAAGCGAAACCCCTGTGATGCCCTCCGCCAGTTTCCCAGTTAAACCGCTGCTGGATATAACGAAAATCTCTAGCGTATTTTACTACATTTACGAATAAAATTTTCACGCTTTGGCGCGTTTAAGCCAAATCACTTAAGGCCGCTGCACTGCGGCACCTGCCAAAAGTCTGCGTGTGAATGGCAAAATACGATTGATAACTTTATTAATTACGCAGCAACAGGTGTGTAAAATGTGCTATTTATAGTAACTTAATTATATAAAAACGAATACATACGAATTACTTTGCAAAACAATAGTTTTAGCAATAACTCCTGGACAATGCCGCTGCTGGAAGCTCAGTGCGCTGCGCAGAGCATTGGTCCCTTTAACACTATGGTCAGCGCGTTAATACAAGCGCTGCTCGCGGCACAATGCGCCATCTCACCCCCCGAGTTGTGGCCACCGAACTACGCCAATGCATTGCTGGGACGCACTGAGCCAGATAAGTATGATTTTGTTGTCGTAGGCGCAGGTTCGGCGGGTTCAGTAATTGCCAGTCGGCTGAGCGAGAATCCAGAGTGGAAAGTGTTAGTGTTGGAGGCAGGTGGTGATCCTCCACAGGAATCTGAGGTGCGCATGTCAACTATTGGGTCGATCACTAAGTAATTTCGTTTTTTTTATTGTTGTTATTCGATGATTTTCATTGACCAACGATTTTATCCACATCGGCTCAAAGAGGCCTTCCATGACGTGGTGCATCCTCAAGATCGAAATTGCCGGAACGAAATTTTGCAAACCAATTTTGGCATTCGCGTTCGAACACTCCGAACACATCGCATAATTTTCGCCTTGTTTGAAATGCATTTTTACCCTTCTGATAGTAAAAAAGTGAAATATGCCGAAAATGCTGTTCTCGATCTTCTATCTTTATTACAGCACCAAATAAAAACTATTCCGAAAACTTTAAGAATTTTTTAAAAATAGCCTTATCAGCTATTCAAATAAATAACGGAAAAGCGGTAAAGTGTGATGTTGGCTGCGAAAAAATTCAATAAGATCAGCTGTTGTCATCAAACGAAATTACTTAGTGAAGGACCCAATAATTCGAATAGAACAGCTGTCTTATTATCCACATTTTCACAGGTGCCAGGCGTTTTATTTTCTTTGGAGCATACAAATGTCACTTGGAATTATTTTACTGAGTATAGCGACAAGGCCTGCTGGGGTTTGGTTGATCGGCGTTGTTATTGGCCACGCGGCAAAATGATTGGTGGTTCTGGTGGTGTTAATGGTATGCTTTATGTGCGTGGTCATCGCGGTGATTACGACCGTTGGGCTCAAGCTGGCAATATAGGATGGGGTTGGAAGGATGTGTTGCCGTATTTTGAACGTTCCGTGAGCCCAGTGGGTAATGACATGCACCCACATGGCTATGTAACACTCAATGCATTTCCAGTCAATGATCCGGATATAGAACAAATGATCTATGCAGGCACTGCGGAACTGGGCATACCACGCGTGCAATTATTCACCGCCGGGAGTGAGACCGGGTACTCTAATTTACCGGGTACAATAATGAATGGGCGTCGCATGAGTCCTAGCAAGGGACATCTGGCGAGTGTTGCTAAGCGACCTAATTTGCAAGTGATTAAAAATGCACACGTGACCAAACTGAATTTCGACAAAAGTGGTAAAAATGTGCGCTCCGTTAGCTTCACTGTGCGAAATGAAAGGAAAATGCGTGTGAGTGTTGGTAAGGAGCTGGTTTTGTCGGCGGGTGCAATTGAATCACCAAAACTCTTAATGCTCTCTGGCGTTGGACCGGCAGCGCACCTAAAGGCAGTGCAAATTCCTCTTGTACATGATTTGCCAATTGGTGATAATCTGCATGATCACGTGCAGGTTGTGACTTTCTTGAAATTGAACGAAGGTGTAGCATATAAACTTACGCCGCAAGATAGCTTCGATAGCACTTACAATTATCTCATACACCGTAGCGGACCCCTAACATCACACGGCACTGCTTCGCTGACCGGTTTTATCAATACACTTAAAAATAGTCCCTATCCGGACGTCGAATTTCATCATTTCATTTTGCGCCGCGGCGATTTCTCTGGCCTACAAATATTTCTCCATGGTCTTAGCATCAATGATTCCTTTAAGACACAAATACGCAGTGCTATTGAGGTTTCCGACATTTTGGGCATGTTTAATATACTCGCAGCACCAAAATCCACCGGAAATTTGCGACTGCGCAGCGCGGATTATACTGATTCACCAATATTAACACACAACTACTTCAATGATGCGGAAGATTTGGCTACTTTACTGCGCGCCATACGATTCCAAGAGCAACTATTGAAGACCGCAGCATATAGAGCAATGAATGCTAGCTTAGTACTGCCTACAATCGCCGAGTGCGACGCTCTTGAATTGCAGAGCGATGACTATTGGCGGTGTTACATCAAATATTTCTCTTGTACCACCTATCATCAGTCAGGCACGGTAAAAATGGCGCCCGCAACCGATGCAACCAGTTGTGTGGATCCACGTTTGCGTCTACGCGGTATAGATAATTTGCGTGTGGCCGATGCTAGCATAATGCCCAAAGTGCCTAGCGCAAATACAAATGCGGCTACAATTATGATTGCCGAGAAGGCAGCCGACTTCATACGACAAGATTGGCGAGAATCGTGGCAGCAGTCCCACTAATCTTATATTTTTATTTAAATGACAGGTGTGTTGTGAACATACTATACAAACATTCTAAACTAATGAGTACGTAGCAAATGCAATACCGTTATAAATGACTTTATATTTTAATTTTTTAAATGTTGACTACTATAAGCACTTTTTATAACTTGAGAGATTCAAGTCTATAGAATCAGCTGAATTTTAGGTTAGAGCTTATAAGTGTTTTGCAATTTAACTGATGTTGGTGATTGGTCCTCATTATTTTGTACTGGCAATAAAGTACTCTCAGAACCTATCCATTAGCTGTTTGTAAAAACCGCAACTCATCCAAACAAATAGACAAAATTAATGCACTCATGAAATTCATGGAACAAAGCAAATTAGATGGAAAAGTACTCGTATCTAATATTGGGATTTAATACAAATTGTTAGTTGCAAACCAGCAAGAGAAATTGCATCTACAACTCAATATATACAAGTATATATATGTATAGTAAATAAATTTAATATTTCGCACAAAAAAGTATACAAAACAGAACTCTTAATGATAATACAATAGATAATTTTATTTTTTAGGAGAAATATATAAGAAATATCAGATCCAATAAATACGTTACGTAAAAAAAGTTAAGTTCTGAAAAGATAATACTTTGATTGATTTTACCGATACGTCCAGAAAACAGTATATTTGAAAGAGTTATGAATTACTTGGTCTAAACTACATTTACTAAAAGAAAGGAAGTTTATAAAAAATGTAAAAGGTAAGTTAAAAAGATAAATTTAACAAATTAAAAAAAATCCAATCGCTGCTGGTAGATGTTTTGCTATGAAGTGCAGCCTGTGCAGTGAGAGGTGAACATTCACTCCGACAGCAAAGCTAGTCAAGGAGTGTCTGTCCTCACTAGAAATAGCAACAAGTTACTTCATCATCAGACTCTACCTGGTCATAGCGGACTCGCTGGCAACTGCTAAGTCGACGAACTAGCCCGATGTAGTACTCTTGGCCCGCTCACATCGGAATGGAACCGAGTTGGATCTCTATTGGCATCTTGCGTTCCAGCACTGGACCCTTGGGATTTGCGTGCGCTTAACAGGTGCTGGTCAACAATACGCTCTTTTGCGAATGCAAGATCCAAGATCTAGAGTAGAACGCAGATGATGTTCTGAATTACTTGCCCTTAAGAAAGTTCATGTTGCCGCAATCATGCGGTAAGGCTAAAAATCTTGACGAACGCAATATGTCAAAGTTGTATTCAATACATATTAAATATCTGCTTTAGGCAAAGGCTATAATAATAACGGGTGGTTTAAGTAGAGGTATTTTCTTCAACAGACTTTTTTTGACAGATCACGCATAAGCCGTGTCAAGCTGTCATGGTATTTTGGTTCAGTATTGTTTGGCATTTCATCATGAAGAGATTTACGCCTGAACAACGTTTACAAATCGTTCAAATTTATTACGAAAATTCACGTTGTATAAAGAATGTGTTTCGCGTGCTTCGCTTAAGTTATGGTCAACATAATCGGCCTACTGAGCATACTATTCGCAAAACCATCACCCATCTTGAGACCCAGCATTCATTATTGGATACTTAATATTCGACCGAATAGACCCGTCCAGCACGCAGTGAAGAAAATATCGCGGCCGTAGCTGAGAATGTACACAAAAACCGTGTAGAGTCGAGCATTTTACGTCAAGATCTTAAATTGAAAGCGTACAAAATACAGCCTGTGCAATAACTCAAGCTGCTCAACCTTTCCAAGCGACATCACTTCGCTCTATGCGCTCTTGAAAAGTTCCCAAAAGATACGACATTTTCGACCCAAATTTTGTTCAGCGATGAAGCAAGTAAAAGTTCCGCAGTGAGAACGTAACCGGCAATGGCGACCGTTTTCGCGCCATGATAACCGACCTGCCTGAAATTTAAGCACGTGATCTCGGCGATATTTGGTTTCAGGAAGACGGCGCCACTTTCTACACATCGCATCAATCAATGGACTTATTGAGAGAACACATTGGTGAGCAGATAATTTTACATTTTGGGCCGGTCGATTGGCCACCAAGATCGTGTGATATCACACCATTAGACTTTTTCCTGTGGGGATATGTAAAGTCTAAAGTCTATGCGGACAATCCCGCTTCGATTCAGGCCTTGGAGCAAAACATCACGCGTGTCATTTGCCAGTTACCGGTCGAAATGCTCGAACGAGTCATTGAAAATTGGACTCAGCGGATGAACCATCTGAAACGTAGCCGCGGGATAATCTTTTTAATGCTGAAGATTGTTCTTTCGAATGATAATAAACATTCCCCATTAAATTTGATTTTCCTGTGTTTTTTTCTTTAAAAAAGTAAGGAAGCTCAAAATGGTTCACCCTATATAATCAAGATGTCAAGAAATCTACAACGAATTAATGGATTCTGTAGTAGTTCCGAACCACATATGACTATCTATTTATAGCAAAAAGTCCAAGTCTAAGTCTAGTTTAATTAAAGTTTTTCATTTCAGCTAAGCTTGGCACACAATATTTAACATATAGTTAGAGTATATATAACTTTTTGTTAAACTTGTCACCGGTTAGATGGCTTGTAGTACCCTTCAAGGAATCCATTCGTATAGAAGGATGATGAGCTTGTAGTTAAATTAAGTAAAATTTATTTATATAATATAATAATGTGCTAATTTATTCTAAAAAAATAGACTCATTTACATTTTTTAACACAAAAAATCAAGAATTCACAGATGTACATAACATACATAATATTTTTCGTAAACAATGATAAGATTTAGTTCGTGAGATTGTTGGGAATTTTCCATAAGGTCCCAGCAGACCAGTCGCTTTTTGGGTTTTTTTTTTAACACTTCATTACTATCTATCTCATTAATAATTTTCCACATTCGTTATTTAGATTAGATTAAGCTCGGTTAGTACTAGAACTATGTCTTTACTTTTAAATTACACTGGTCTGCAAAGATATCCTCCTTAAAAAAATATGCCATATATATGAAAGTATTGATACTTTGAATCTATTCCAGTCAATTGTTGTTGTAAGTGAAAGAAGGAAAGTGTCGCAAGTAATTATTACAGCAGTACATAACCGTATGTGGTGTATTCGTTAGTTGAAAACTGGTGTTTCACTTGCTTACATTCTACTGACGTATCGCATATTTGTGTAAGTCTTGAATAAAGTTCGCATTTTTTATATTTGTAAGGTATTTTATGTGTGTGTTTTTTTTTTATAAATTAGACCAATAATAATGAATAGAAATTTGAAAATTGCACTAAAAGATATTTCATTTAATTGAAGAGCATTCCTATAATGAGTCTGAAAAATTGTATAAAATGTTACTGCTATATTTGTGCCGAGTTTATGGTATACTGAAAGTACAGCAAAACCCAAAAGCTATGAACGAAGAATTGCAAGCTTTCATTATCTCACGGATAAAGCTTTTAATTCGAAGAAACAAGAAAAAACGTTAACTTCGGTTGCACCGAAGGTATAATACCCTTCACAATAATATACAATACAAAAGGTTCCTTAGAAGAACTTGATTTCGATCGTTCAGTTTGACTGGCAGCTATATGCTATAGTTATCCGATCTGAAAAATTTCTTCGAGATCAAATGAAAAAGTTTTCCATACAAGAACTTGATTCCGATTGTTCAGTTTGTACGGTAGCTATATGCTATAATCAAATCAGCTCATCATGTTGATCATTTATGTATATATTTAATAGGGTCTCCGACGTTTCCTTCTGGGTTTTACAAACTTCTTGGCAAACTTAATATGCCCTGTTCGGGGTATACAAATAGTTATCGATAGCGCCGATATATATTCTTATTTTTACACTATCGATAATTTATTTTATTATCTATCGATTTGGTTTAGATTTCTTTTTTGTACAATTTACTTCATAACCGGAACTTATTTAAAACTACTTTCACCTAAAATAGCAAATTTTTTAAAACTAAAATAACACATGTCTTGTTCAATATCTTTCGGAAAATTTCACTTGCCTTTTACAGGTATCATGCCAACCAAATAGAAAAAAATAAGGCTCGTTCGCAACGAATGTTCCCTACCAACACATATGTATAATGCTTAACGCTCATTTCATACCGGTAACAGTATACATAAAAGTAAATTCAAAATATGCTCTTTTGAGAAAAACGCGTAACTGTGGCTGTAACTCAAAAACCATATGAGATATCGATTTGAGTATAGTATAAACTATTGGAATATGAAATAAATAATTTTTTAAAAGTTTCACACTAGATGTGCCCCTTAAAACGTAACTTCAATTGCACCGAAGCTACAATACCCTTCACAAGTAAAAAAAAGTATGCATACAAAAACTTTATTTGGATTGGTCAGTTTGTATAATAGCTACAGCCATGGACACATTAACGTGCCTAGTTTGAATGCTAAAATTGTTTAATTGAAAGTTGATTAATATATAAAAATTTTGCATTAAATTTGGTGCTGCTGTACCAGAGTTGTATTGTACTGCTGAAATAATCCGTTACGTTTTGATTTTTGTTTCCCGTTGTCAACAATGCGTACTCAATGCTGATTGTGACTGGACACATAAATGGCACTAATTACTTTTCCGCAGTAATACTTGCGTAGATTTTAATAGAAGAATGTCATTTATTGTGAAAGAAAGGCGAATTATTTGGAAAGTATGTATTAAGAGCAAAAATGGCCGATACGCAAATTTCCCGTAAAAAAAATTATACAACGTAATCAAATCAAGCGTGGAGAATACACATGTATTGGTCAAAGCAAGTCTAGATTACGCAAAACGTATGCGCGTACAAATGTGCTATAGTACGAATGGTCAAAAATGGTCCATTTTAATCATCGCGGCAGGTAGGAGCCAAAATAATCTATCGTTGGGTTAAAAAACATCCTGTAGACTTGTCAGAAGACGTTTGAATCAGGCAAATTTTTTTGGACGCATTTCGAAGAAATCACACCTTTCAGAAAAAAAATTATTCAAAATGATTAAACTTCGCTAGAACTTCTCAAGAAAAATGCTTAAATTTTTGAAAAAATATATTGTGGAGTGAAGAAACAAAGGTTAACAGGATAGGACCAGATGGCAGAATATTTGCCCATCGTCCGCAATTCTCTCAGAAGACACTAAAGTATGGTGGTGAATTTGGGGAGCATTTTCGTGGTATGGTGTATTTATTAAAAATAAAGGCTATAGCACAAAATACTGACAGATAAAACGTTCGTACGGAACAAAATTGATAAAAAAAAAAATCAATGTGAACTAAATTGTCCTTCTTTTTCTAGGTTATGCCATTTATGTGTCCAGGTCATTACACCACATTTTTCTCTTTTTTATCATTATTTTTTTAACAATTAATTGTAACTTCGATTTCTACTATAATTGAATGCAAGGAATAAACCTTTAGAAAAAAAGCCAACTTTTGTTATTTATTCAAAACATTTACCGTACTACAATAAAAAAGCACAATTTGTTTGGAGATTGTAGCTTTGTCTTGGACAAAAATACGTGTCGAGTTTCGTAAAGATACCTCGTCAAATAAAAAACTTGAATTTGATCTATTACAATAGTTTGTATGGCAGCTTTATTCTTAAGAGGTCTGATCTGAA